CTTGACAAAGATGATGGAGAGTGGTCCAGCACTCTGGACCGCATCTGGGTGTCTGCCCGTGGGATGTGCTTATGAAAGAGCATTCCTGGCTGATTTCTGGCTGCTTGGTGATCTTTCAAGAGCTGATAAGCTGCCTGGGCTGGGCTGAATGTTATGATGGCAGGTCTCCTGCCCCACTGATGGGCTGGTGGGGTTGTTCTGGGAGAGATACCCCACTTGGCATGCCCCACTGCCCCCTGAGGCAGAATTTGGTCAGCTGTCCTTGGGGACCACTGTGCTACCCCAACCTGTACGTGAGGTATCATGCTGCTGTCTGCAGCTATGGAAAATAAATAGGTGGGGGGAGCTTCAGCCCTAGAAATCTGCCCCAGATCCCTCCCTGGGGTCTAGCCCTCTGTTAGCAGAGAGCAAGCTACTCTGTGTAACATAGTGGGAGTCGCAAGGCAGAAGGATTAGCCTGTGAGCTCCTTAAACTGGACAGCAAAGCCACAGCTGGTAGAGCTGGGCACTTGCCCTGCACACAGACCAGCATGAGGGGCCTCGGGCATTTCCCTTGCCCTGGCAGCGTGGGCCCGGGGTGCTGGCTGTCACCTCCCAGAGGCGTGTTACTTTGTACCCTACTCACCAACCTCCCCCCCGCTGTTTCTAAGCAGAGGAAACCACTACTGCAGGACAGCTTCCTCTCAGCCACTTTCACAATAGCAGAGTGGCTCTTGCCGTCGCTCATGAGAGCTTTCCGCTGCCCTTCTGGGAGAGGACCCACGCAGAGCCCTTTTCCATGGGGCTGGTGCAGTGCCTCGTGGCTGCATTCCTCTTCCTCCTCCTCTTCTTCCTGGGTGAGTGCCCTGTCTGGTGGTGAGGGATTTCCCAGGGCAGGTGACTGGGGGAGGTAAAGCCACCTACTTGGTGTGGACGGGACCTTTGCAAGCAGGTGGCTCAGTGGGGTTTCTTTCTGGGGCTGTGGGACCAAAATGGTCCCACCATGGCCAGCACTGCTTGCTTTTGGTGGCCATGGGAAGAGCTGCGGCAGCACGTTCTCCTTTCAGCCCTGTAGTTTCGCTCTAAAGTGATAGCTCTGACTCTCGCAGGGTTTCAGTGAGGGGATGTGCACACTTCTGTTGTGTAGCTGCTTGGGGGATGCAGAGGGGTTTACCTCACCCCCACTTCCTTTGGAAGGGCATTTCTAAGGATTTCTTAGGCTGTGCCACCACCAGCTCTCTTCCCTGGCCCAATCTCCATGTTTTTTTGACTCGGTGTCCATGTCCTGTGGGTGTTCTGCTCTTGTGTGTGCTGGGCACCAGAATACAGCTGAATGTCACCACTGGGAGCTCTGCAGGAGAGGAGGGGGCACAGATGACCATAGCCTCCCAAAACCCTCTGGAGGCAGAAATGAAGGTTTCCTCCATTTATTGATGACGGGATTTCTTTGATGCCTCTCAGTGCCCCTTGCCTTCTGAGGAGCTCCTGCTGGACCCCTTTCCCATGCCCTCTCTGGTTTCTATTCATGGAGCACCTCTGCAGCACCCAGTTTGACAGTTTGCTCTGCTGCCCCATGTCCCTTGGCTTCTCCTTCCCTGGCAGTGGTCAGCTCTGGCACCTTTTCCCACCCCGCACCCAGCATGTGCAAGACCGAAGTGCTTGGCCTTCTCTAACACATCACAAGCTTCTTCCAGTGATCTCAGCCTGGTTGCTGCTCCCTCTGAACAGCTGGCTGAGAGAGATTCTCCAGCCATGAACAGGCTTAACAGCCCTCTGGCCATGATGCTCTGGACTCTGTTGTGTGACTCCCAGTGTGCTAAGAGACAAGGAAGTTTGGAGGTTTATTATTACAGGACTTGTTCTTACCATTGCAAGGGATATGAAGTCTCTTAGGCTTCATGCTTCAAGAATGGGAGGGCATAGCAATTCTTCCCAGTATTACGTTGTTGTCTGGTGCGCTCCCAGACCCACTGCTGGTTTGAGTATGCAGCCCTGGGGTAGCGTATATCCCTGCAAACACCATGTGTGCCAACTCTTTGGTGGCAGGTTTGAGCACTGGCCAGCGGGTGGTGACTGTTCAGAAGGGGCCTCTCTACCGCGTGAGGGGATCCCACGTCACACTGTGGTGCAAGGTGAGTGGCTACCAGGGCCCAGCAGAGCAGAACTTCCAGTGGTCCATCTACCTGCCCTCGGCTCCCGAGCGAGAGGTGCAGATCGTGAGCACCGTGGACCCCTCCTTCCCCTACGCCATCTACACCCAGCGCGTGCGCAGCCGGGGGATCTACGTGGAGCGGGTGCAGGGGGACGCCGTCCTGCTGCACATCACCGAGCTGCAGGACCGGGATGCCGGGGAGTACGAGTGCCACACGCCCAACACTGATGAAACGTATTTTGGGAGTTACAGCGCCAAAACAAACCTCTCAGGTAAGTCTGGAAAGAGAGCCCTGTTCCTGACAGGCAGGGTCACAGGCAGGTTTCTGTTGCCCCCACCTTTGCACTGAGGAGAAGTATTCATCTCTGGGTCTCTGACAGAGGGGCAGCTGGGCAAAACAGTGATTAACGGGCACAAACTTTCCTTCTCTCCCCACTCTGGGATTGCTGTGTTACCCCCTGAGTGACCAAGGTATGCATGCCCAAGTGTCCCCTTTAAGGTTGCTCTGGCCTTTGCCTCCCAGTCTCCGCTTGTCCCATGGTTTGACTGCAGTTTCAGCTCCCAACGCAGCTGTAGCATTTCACAGCTAGGCACTTAGAAGGACAGGAGTTTTCAGGCTTTGTAGATTAGCTGTTGGTGTTCTCTCAGGTCAAGGTGTGGGACTTGACCCAAATGGGATACCCACAGATGGAGGGAAGTAGCAGCTCCTGCAGAACACTGCAAGAGGGGAGACAATGGATTGGAGAGGCGATGGGAAAGGTCCTGTTGTGAGCCCATCAAGTCTGTGCTGTGGTATTGTACTTCAGCTTGGTATTCACTCCTGTTCCCTCCTTTATCTTCATGGTGTACCATCATGGACTTGGGATTGTGGCGTGCTGGACATTAATCTGTTTGGCATTGCCGAATTAATACTGCCTGTAGTTTGACTGAAGAGGGTATGGCAGAGAGATTCACTGTGCTTTTTTTTCCTGCTGTGGTTTTAACTACTTCACACCTTGGTGTAGGCTGATGGAAATCTTGTCAACCACCTACAAAAAATATTTCTCCTACGCTGTCAGATCCCTTAGGACCTGACTGTGGTTTTGTAGTGGCTAACAGGTTGCCAGCTGAGGCCAAGAGACAATTTTTTCCCACAACCAGCTGCTCTTTGTGTTTCTCTCCCATGCTCAGTGATTGCAGACACCCTCTCGGCTTCCATGGTGCCCCAGGTCCTCACCCGCACTGAAGGGGATGCAGCAGAGCTCACCTGTGAGGTGTCCAAGGCCACTGCTCAGCATACACATCTCTCTGTTGGCTGGTACCATCTTCAGGAAACAGGAGAGCACCATGCTGAGGAGGTCCTCACCCTCTCCAAGGACTTCACCTTGAGGCCAGGACCCTCGTACATGCAGAGGTTTCTGGTGGGGGATGTGCAGCTGAACAAGGTTGGGAACACCACATACAAGCTCTCCATCAGGGGAGTGGAGCTGTCTGACCAGGGACAGCTGTACTGTGAGGCAGCTGAGTGGATTGAGGATCCTGATGAGACATGGAAGGACATCTCCCGCAAGCAAACAGGGAGGACATCGCTGGCAGTTGTGAGTCAGGGTAAGGCCCTTGCAAACTCACACTTTAGTGCCAACTTCTGTGTTCATTCAAGGCTCTGTAGCAGCAGTTTTCAGTGGCCTTTGCCTGCCTCTGCCACAGTCCAGGGACCCACTGGGGACTCTGACCACCTCTGCTGGGCACTGAGGGGAATGGGCTGGGCTTGGGGCTGTGCCAGCCCCTGTTTTGGGAGCTACTGGTACTTCTTGCTTCACATAGATGAGTCCCCGATGTTGGCAGCAATCATGCAACTTTGTGGGCATATGTGAGGTGTTAGCAGAGAAAGCAATATGTTCCTGCAGCAGGCTGGCTTCTTGGCAGTATTAAGCTCCAATATGCAGAAGAAGGTGGTGTTAGACTGCCTTGAGGGTCTCACAAGTCTCAAAAACCAAAATACGTAACAGTCAGCTGCCTGTCGTGGTGCCTTGGCCACAGGTACCAAGGGACATGGTGATGCACTGCCTGTGCTGCATGGCTTTGGTGTCTGCTGGAGGTGGCTTGTCTGTTCCTGGTGTCATGAGAGCCCGCTGGGCTTCAGACCAACTGGTTTTTCTGTCTTTTAGGGCATCTGTGTGTCTCTTCCTAGTAGTTCATATATGGTGGTAATGGGACTGTGGGTTAGACTGTGCCTTGAAGTGCATGCACCAAGCCCCTGGTTTATGATCTAGGAAAATGTAGCATTAGGTATGTAGAAAGAGGAGGCTTAGACCTGCTACAATGTACGAGATGGATTAAAATAGGAAATTTTGACAAACAACCCCTTGCCAGTGCTGCCCATCTGCTCCTGCATCACTCTGTCCTTGCCAGGCACCTCCCATTGCCTTTGCCCACCAGCTTTCCCGTGGCTCCCAGCATCTGCATTGCCTCACCCAGGGCTGGTGGGAAAACCCCTGTCCCTACTTCCCTGGGATGATTATAACACTGCCACTCCTCTGAGCACCCTGCCTGCCATCCCTCCTGCCACAAGCCCTTTGCTGTCTGTTGTCCCTCACCCTGCTCTTCCCTGAGCTATGCGTGCGTAGCTGTGACCAGCAAGTTCTGCCTCAAAGCAGCCAAGCATAGATGATGTCCTTTAACATATACTGTAGTGTGGAGTAAAATGGGAGCAAGTCTCTCACTGAAAAGCTTCGTGGGGATGTGGTATACTGCGTACCCATGCTCAGAACAGATGGAGGAGGCTGCAGAGCCAGGGGTGGGGGGTGAGGGAAACCGCTGTCTTGCTGGAGGGTGATGAGTCGAAGCAGGAAACCAAAGAAACAGGCAAGGACCAAGCACCCTTTGTGTGGCTCAGGAGGACAAGGTATGAGGGTGAGGGAGAAAGTAGTTTCCCACTGTCAGAGTCCTGTTCCTGAAACCTGGCTGACTGGCAAATGCTTCCGTGCATCTGCTTGTTTAAGAGGATTCATTGTGACCAGTAGTGTGTAGCTTTGGGTACCAGTGCCATAGGATTGTTTAGGAGTAGAGGAACCTTGTCAGAGTTTAGTATTTGCCACGTGGGTGGCCATTAAGGGTAGAAGGGTGATGATGGTAATTGTATTAGAGCTGCTGATATTACTTGGGGGGAAACAGTGGTGGGTGTACAAACCCTCCATAAAATAATCTGAGGTTGGAAAAGACCTCTGAAGTCATCAAACCCAACCATCAATCCAACACCACTGTGACCACTAAACCATGCCCCAAAGTGCCACGTCTACATGATTTTTGAACACCTCTAGGGATGGTGACTCTACCACGTCCCTGGGCACCCTGTTCCAATGCTTCACCACTCTTTCAGTAAAGAAATTTTATCTACAGGACTGGAGTCTCCCTGCACTGCCTCATGTGAGAGCTCAGGCTGTGAGGCTGAGCGCCCCATCGCACCAGGAGCCGGTGACTGCTCTGACCGTGAACAACTGCTCCATCGGTTTCTATAAACTCTCCAGCAAATATTTGGGAATGCCAAACATATCTGCAGCAGCTGAGATTCCTGTTCACAAACTGTTTATGAACCAGGGTTTAAATTTACAGGGTCCAATAAATGATTTCAATAAATTATTTGAGACTTTCCAGTGGCAGTTGGGGAGCTGCTCTGTTTTGCCTCCAAACTACAGCACGTAACCTTGCCCTGCTTGTTAGCACTGGGAGGGCAGGGAGCACTGCAGTGACCCAGGAAGATGGACTAGTGTGAGCCAGGGAGCCAGGGCACAGCCCTACCTCCTGTTTTTTGTCCATGCCACTGCTCTGTGGGGTCACGGTGTAGGCTTTTGGGACACACTGTGGGTCTCTGCCTGCAGCCTCTCTCCAGCCAGGCTGATGCTAGAAACCAGGGGGCATTAGCACATGAGGAAAGTGAATCTTATCATAGGACCCAGAGACAGGGTCCTTACCTCAGATGTTGGCTGACTACCCAAGAGGGTCTGCCAAGGGGAAGATGACTTTGTGCTAACCCTCTTTGCTTGGCAGCTGCTGCTAGCTGGTATGGGGGGCAGGACAGGGACTAGAGGGTATTCACCTCTTTTTGCTTCACTCCAACCTCCCTGTGTTGTGACAGTTCTTGACAGTTCTTGCTTTAGCAGGGACTAACCCCAAACCTCTCCAACTTGGAAAGTATCCCTTGCCCACATCTCACAGCAGGGAGGGCTGCAGCAGGCAGGACCAGCAGCATCAGATTCAGACGAGCAGCTTGGATGCTCCACACACCTTCTCCCACCACAGACAGTAGAGTTCAAAACACCACTAAGTGGTAAACTTCTTTGTGCCCCTTTCTGGTTTAAGGGGTATTGTTACACGAAACAGCTCCAGGAGGCAAGATGCAGCAGCCCTCCAGAGAAGCTGATGCCTCTGAGTTTGAGCAGCCCTTGGTTGGGATACGTGAGCTAAGCAGGCAGTGGCTGTGGTCTGAGGCTGCCGCAGCGGGTTCTCTGCTCTGGGGTGGGGTTAGCTGCTTCAAAGTGGGGAGCTCAGCAGTTTGGGGCTCTGGTCGGTGCTTCCTCCACCTGTGACTACTCAGTGCCTGGAGTTGGCAACTGTCTCCTCATGGGCAAAGTTTTCTATACTGATAACTTTTCTAATGCAAGAAAATGTTTCAATAGAGAATTCCCTCCCATTTTTCTCTGCACGGCCTTCGGTGCTGCCAGGTGGGAGGGAAGCATGGGCAGGGCCATCTAGCACCCTCTTTGTTTTTGATTGCCCACAGGCAGAGATCTCTCTGTGAACATCACTGCTACTGAAAGGTCGCTTGCTGAAGGAGATACCTTACAACTAAATTGTGTTGTGGGATCCCAGAAGAGCAGCAGCAGTAATTTCCAAGTTCTTTGGCTCCTCAATAGTATTCAAGTAGCCAGGGTTGACCCACATGGGGTATTGATTTTGGAGGAAGCATATGAAGAGAGAGCCAAGCTGGGGAAGCTCCAAGCATTCAAGCAAAGCAACACGGTTTATGTCCTCACCATCTATGAGGTGGGGCTGCAGGACAATGGCACATACCACTGCTCTGTTTCGGAGATGAAGACTCCTGGAGACTTTGACAGCATCCAGACCAATCTGTCATCAGGCATCCAAGTCAATGTGAAGCCAGTAGGTTAGTAAATCCTAATGTCAAGTCTTCTGTGTAAGCCTGCAATGATCTTTGACTGGGGAACACTTCAAATCTGGCCTTAACTTGACAGGTTTAACACACCTGCTGCTTGCAGCAAGAGTGCAATTGTGCCATAGATTTTGTAATATAATATTGGGAAAAGCACTTGCTCTGGCAAGCATTAACATGACAGATGCAGCAGCTGTCAACAAAATGTAAATGTTTAGCTCAGCCTCTTTGCAACAAGTTTTGGGGCAAGTAGGTAGAATTCTGGGGAAGTTGGGTCCTCTTGTGTCTTTGGTACAAAAAACTATGAGAAAAACCTGTTGCTACTCCTGAGGGTCATAGGTTGACCCAACAGAATGGGTAGTTCTGGATGGGGGAGATCATTGCCATTTCCATCAGCGTGCTCTCTCTGTTTTGGAGAGATGACTCTTGAGAAAGAGCTCTAAGAAAAATGTGTGGGAGACTCTTGACTTCCTTGTCATAGCTAGACAGTGGCTATTCTGATGTTGCAGGAGTTGTCTGTTGGGATTCTATTTCTTAAGTATTTCTTTATGCATCCGTTAATATAAACAGGAAAGACATTAAAGATTTTTAAAAAAGGAGAAAATATATCCTTAGAAAGCTTTTTCCAAAGTTATAAGAAAAGGCTAGCTGAAAATTTCAGATGATTCCTTTCCTTTTCCAATGTCAAGATTTATCTAATCTCTCTGTTTAATGCCACCGTATCTCTGGCTTTCTTTGAGGAACACAACCCCTCCCATTCAGTAACTGTTGTTTGCAGAGAGCCGCATGCGCCTGTCTGTGTCCACCAGCACGCCGCAGGTCATGGCGGGAGATGCCTTGATCTTCCTTTGCGAGGTTCAAGGAGCGACCAATCCTGTGTCCGTGCGGTGGTGGCACCTGCCACCGCAGCACCCGGGTCCCCGTATGCTGGTGGCCACCATGGAGCGAGATGGCACCCTGAGCTTTGGCAGCACCTACCAAGACAGCAGGACTCGGGGAAGCCTCCGACTGGAGAAAGTGAGCTCTGGCGCTTTCACCCTGGTGATCCCCAACACACTGGATGAGGGCGATGGTGGGCGGTACGGGTGCAAAGCAACGGAGTGGTCCCAAGGCCGGAGCTGGACAGAGGAAGGGGAGACAGCAGTAACAGTCAGCCCCATGGGTGAGTTGGGCCACCTCTGTTTCTGGGCTTTCAAGCTGGACACACGGAAGGCAAGGCTAGAGAAGTGGGTGGACACATGCAGGCAAGACAGTTCTGCTGTGCCCTGAGCTCTGATGTTGCTGCAGGGTGCCCTAGGGGCTGATCACTTGGCCCTGAAGTGCTTCATTTTCCCCATTTCTAGCAGGGTGCTTGAGTCCTACACAAGATGTTTTGGGAGACACAAGTGGGGCACAACAGCTAAAATGCCTGGAGACGTGAAACGCAGTGGCTTGCACAACAGATCTTTTGATTGTCTCCTGAACTTGAAATACAAAATACCTGTTTTAGCAGCATAATTACAGTAATTAAGCTCAGTGAAGGCACTTACTGAGTTGTATCATGACTTTTGCCAGAGATACACCTCTGGTGTTGGCACTTCTTCTGCCCTCCTGTCTGAACACGGAGCCACTAACCTCCGTGGTGTGCAATGCCCACACTATTGTTTCTTTTGATTGCTGGAATGGGTGCCTTTATGGAGAGCTTTTGACTGTGATTTAGGGCATTTTCCCTTGCTTATTGCTGGGCGGCATGCCTGAAATCGCTTGTTGGACCACAAGAGTTGTGAGGCTTTTGTGGAGAGCGGAAAGAAGCAGCAAAGGGGGCAGCAGCAGGGGATCTCTGGCTTTCTGCCATGGGGTGAAACTGGGAAGCCTGAGAAGAAGGGTACATGGGGTTCTCTGGAGGTGAGAGAATGAGGTATGAGAGGGCTGGCGACCATGTGGGGCTGGAAGAACATGGTGCAACTCTGGGGAGAGTAGCACCGGCAGAGGAGCAGCGAGACTGCTGGCCACCGTGGGGCTATAGTGGCTGGGACAGCAGGGATGGCGCTGCATGGGAATGGTGGCGGTGAGGTGGCACGCAGCAGGATTTCTGTCCCAGCACCAAGGGCTCTCTCCTCCTGAGCAGGTCTTGGTCTGCATGCCACGCTGAGAAGCCGAACTGCCATCATCAGTTACGGACAGAGTTTTGAACTCGTCTGCCAAGTGAGCGCCAGCTATGCCTTCGAGATGGTGCCAGTGTCCATGGGGTGGTTCTTCCAGCCCAACACACCCACCGGCCACTACCATGAGCTGGTCTGGCTCTTTCCTAATGGCACTGTGACCTGGGGGGCAACGCAGCCACACTTCCAGGGGAAAGCTCAACTGATAAAATCTGCAACCAACTTCAAGCTGCGCATCCACAATGTGACAGCTGCCAATGAGGGGACGTACCAGTGTGAGGTGGAGGTCTGGAGGAGGAGCACCCTGCCGCTGGGGAAGCCGGCAGCCGCTGTCAAGTCCAATGCTGTGGGGATAAAAGTGATGCTTCCAGGTAAGCAGTGCCACAGGCACTTCCTTAGCAGGGATCTCTCCTTTTGCAACTTTAAATCCACAAAACTTGACTAGGGGCAACCAAGACCACTTATGGCTGGAGTGGTTTGGGTGGGTCACCTCCTAGGGCCATGTGAAGTGGTGCTGCATGTCTTCTTTCTTCCTCAGCACCCACAGCTCCTGCCAACACTCATGGAGGCAAATCTGGTGTTGAGGAGTAGCAATGTGTGTTTGTTTAGAGATTATACCAAGCATACAGGAATCAGCCTTGTCACTAGGATTTTACACCTTGTTTCTAGGAAGAAGTAGTCACCGACAAGGAGCCTAGTTGATTGCTGGGGGCATGAGGTGCCTCCCATGATGTGAGCTTCTGGAAGGTTGTGAAGAGAGACCAGCCCTTGAAGCTTGTGCTGGGATATGTCTGTGTCCCCTGGTGTACTTGAGGTTTGCTGAGAAAGTGCCAGGGCTCTCTGTCATACTGGGAGCCAGCACTGAGCTCCAAGGTGCTATGGGCTCTGGGTTGGAGGTATATCCTCTCGGGCACAGCTGGGCTGCACAGCCAGGAGTCCTGCCCAGGGTTCCTTTTGATGGCCACCTCTGCAGACAGGATCTGCGCTGCCACTATGCCTGCCAGTATCACGCAGGGAGCCTCGTCCACTTATGGAAGAGAGATGTTGCAAACACACCACAGCCCCCAGCCAGCCAGTCGTGTGCCTGCTCCCTGCCACTATCCTTGGCAGCAGCGCTGTCAGCTTGCTTTCCCCTTATGTCTGTTCTACCATCAGAGGAGAATTCCTGCTCTTTTTTCACACATTAAGTGCTCCTTGTCTAATCCTTGAATTTTTGGGATCATAACTCAGTGAACTGAAGTTACACGTTCTCAGTATTTTTTAGCTGAAGGGTTTGCTGAAGCATAAGCTGATACATTTCCTTGGCTCTCCTGGCTTGTTTCCGTGGTGCTCTACCTCCTGCTCTGCTGCTGCTCTTTCTTTGCCCCTGCAGAGCTGGGTGCTGGAGTGCTCCACAATATACAGGAGCTACAGCCAGCTGAGGCAGGGGGTCTGCTGGATGGTACTGAGGATAGGGATGACAACAGACAGTGTATGTGAGCGTATGTTAGTAGTGTAAATGGCATTAAGATGAGTAGGTACGATTGTAGACCGTTGATACGGAGGAGACGGTAGCAGTGGAGCAGCAAAGTATTACAATGTTTGTCTCCAGATGTATTGCAGCTGTTACTGGGTACTAAGACACTGTAAGATGGTAGGAATTGGGAGGGGGTGATGCTCAGTGGGAGGTGGCTGCTGGCTCTAAGTAGCATCTCCCTGAAAGGCAAGGCTAGAGGAGGAGATATTTGGGAAGGTAGTCTGGGAAGGAAATCAGCTCTAGTAGCAATAGAATGAGATAAAACCGCAAATAATGAAAATCACCAGCCTGTTTCTTCATGTATAAAATCTTATGGCTGAAGCCTGTAGAGATACTGGAGTTTTTGACTTTTGCTTTGGCACTTTATTTACCACTTGGTGTCAGCTGGTGATATAGGAGTGTAAATGCCCCTGTGCATCTGGCCTGTAGGTTCAGATGGGACGGACGTGGATGAGAGGTTATAACAGGAGGGGAAGGGAGGACAGGTCTTTTCCATTTCTGGCTTAGGTAGATCAGCATCTGACTCTTGGTGGGTTCCCCTAATTAGCAGGCAGATATTGCCCAAACCTAGTGGAGATACTCCCATCAGCCTCTCAGCACAGCTTTCCCTGGCTCAGGAGCGAGCCCCCATGGGCTGCTGCAGCAATGTGTGTGCTTTCTGTGTGCTCCACTGCTCCTGGGCCAGGCAGAAAGCACAGCATCAGCAGGCAGGGTTCACAGAGAGATGGGCAGTGAGAGGCTCAGCTTAGTTAATTAAATGGAAAATGAAAGGAAAAACAGCAGCATGGCTTTCTGTGCTAAAGGAAAAAGCAGGCAGATGCTCTGCCCTTTTGGGCTCTCGAGGTGATCTTCTCCAAGAGCATAACAGCAATTTTGCTCATCAAAGTCGAGTGTTCACAGCAGTGGTTCCTGTAGCTCGTCTCCGAGCTTTAGTAGCTTTTTCTTCTCTGGAGCTCTGGTGCCATACTCAAGCGAGAGGCCCTCCCCCCCGGCATTTTGCTGTCTCCTGTGCTGGCAGCCTCTCTGGGCTTGGGGAAAATTCCTGCGTTTTACCCTCCTGACCCTGACTGCAGCAGCACCGTTGGGAGGAGCTCACTTGGAGGAAGGTTTTGGTCCAGTGTGCCCCCACAGCTGACTTTCCTGAAGCTGTTTTTTGCTGGGACAGATGGCAGAGCTTCTTGTGATGAGCAATGGGGCTGCTCTCCTGGCACATTCTCCACCTAGCTGCAGCTGGGGAAGGCACATCTATGTGTCTGACATGGGAAGGCTGTCCCAGATATCCACCACCTTGCCTGGTCCTGCCTGCTCCTCTCGTGTGGCCTTTGGAGCAGGAACTAAGTCTCCATGTAAAATACCTCGTTGTGTTTTTTCTTTCCCTTTGGCAGAGTTCACTCCTGTGTCCCTGAGTAAAGATCCTGGACTTAAGCAGAATGTCTGAGTGGTATTCCTCTGTACCGAGCAGCTGAAGTTAAGAACCAAGTGTCTTATTTTTATCAGTGTGATCAGTTCACCTGTTACAGAAACACAGGATGGCTGGTTGGCAGGGAACTCTGGAGGTTATTTGGTCCAACCTCTGCTCAAGCAGGGCCACCTAGAGCAGGTGGCCCAGGACTGTCCTCAGACAGCTTCTCAATATCTCCAGTGTCCCTCTGTGAATATTTGTGCTCCCTTAGAACTGGCTCTGGGCTGCATGTGCTTTCAAATACTGGAGTTAGAAGACATCAGCTTGCATCTTGGTTCCTAAGTGTGCTCAAGTCTGCGTGGTCTGTGTGTGTGTGTGGATCTGATGAATTTGCACAGCTTAGAGTGATTGCTTTCCCATCTCTTCTGCTTCTTTCCCTTGCCTGTTTCTCCAGAGCAGCAAATGTGCACTGTGAAATACAGGACAGCACTTTGTTGGTCCCTTGAGAAGAGCCACGTCCCAGACCTCCTGATGAAGGGGTGGCTTCTGAAGTTCTCACCACCAAGGTGAGGCCGTAAGCAGATATTGGGATTTGTGCAAGTCCTGCTGTGGAGCAAACCGACAGTCTTTTGGCAAAAACCTGTCTGTCTGCAATTTGGAGAGAAGAGGGAGGAAGAGCAATAAGTTGCAAAGAGAAAAGAACAGCTTAAGTCCATGCAAACATGGACGTTTTGTTGGCAAATATGAGATGAGTCAGAGGCAATGCTCAGGGATGTCTAGAGGCATGAATTGGGATATTTTGCATTGACTGGTCTCAAGAGAGACTGGTGGTCTCTGAAGTGGATTCCTTGAGCTTCAAGAAGAAATGCTTGAAGAAAGGGGGAAGCATGTGGACTTTCTCCTGTAGTGTTCCTCTTCCTCATCAGCCCCTGTGGGAGAAGCTGCAGCTCCCTCCTGATGGACAGGCTTTCTCCATAACCTGCCGCTGCTGTGTCCCCCAGGGAAGTGCTGCAGAGAAGAGCAATCTTCTGAGCCTATGGCTGAGAACAGGGGGCTGAGATGCAATGTGGGGCATCTCAGCCTGTCCTCTACAGCCCGTCCCTGAACCAGCATCCAGGCATTGAGCTTAAGGAGCCTCCGTTGCCCACAGCCTCTGCAGCACAAGGGGTCCCATTGCTCAGCTCATATGCAAGAAAGACGCTAAGATACTTTGCTGGTGTCTCTTGCTGAGTAACTACTGTCTACCAACGGGTAGATATCCCTGTGTACTCCTTCACATGACTGCTGGCTCCATCTGACAGAGACTGGGTCTCAACATGGAGGGGAGGGTTGAGGGGAAATGCAGATGGTTGGAGGCCCTTCAAAGAGATCAGTTGGCAACCTTTCTGCTGCTGGAGGAGAAGGAAAAGCACCAGCAACAGGTGATGTGTGGTGGGACGGGAGTCCCTGAAATCAGTAGCAGCACAGACATGTGGAGAGCAACTGTGTACAATTGAATGATCAGTGGATATAGTCACAGTGGATGTTCAGGACCGTGTTATGTGGTTTACGATTAATAACCACAGCAAACACCTGAGGTGGTGGCTGCTAGTGAAACCCACGCAGGCTCTATAGTCTCTCTGAGATAAAAGACACTTGTTCAGTTTCCAAAGCTGTGGGCTGGTTTTGTCACTTACGTGTGAGCCTGCCGACAGAAGCAGTGGTAGACAGACACTTCTGCTTCAGACAGAGCTTTTGACTCGAAGCTCCAACATGGTCTCTGCCTCCATCCCCCTGTTTACTGCCCTGTCATCCCACAGGTGCTTCTTCTGCTACTCCCCTGCCCAGTAGCACCCAGTGATTCACCTGTTCAAATAAAAGTGTGTGGATTTGCTTTCCTCACTCACCTTGCTCCAGCATCCCCTAATGGGTCTTCATCCTCTGAGCAGCCTCTTCTTTCCTCCTCTTTCAGGGGGTTTCTTAGGCCAGCCTTATCTCTCCTTGCCAGCATCCCTGTATTGGCAGCTGCAGCTGGCATAATTATTTTATTTTTCCATTTTAGAAAGCAAGCTTCAAGTGGCTAAAAAAGAGAGCTCTGTGGAAATTGCTGGTGGTGCTGACACAGCCATCGAGTGCAGGATCATGTCCGCTCAGAATAATTCTCAGTTTGCTGTTACCTGGTACCTCCTACCTCTTCCTCTGGCAGATGCAAGAGCCCTGCAAATTGTAAGGGCCGACTACAGCAGCGTTCTGGAATACGGAGCTCAGTTCAGCTCTCCTGCACAAAAGTCCCGCTTCCTGAGCCAAAGGGTGTCCAGCAACACTTTCTGGCTGCGGATACTCTCTGCGAACCCCGGGGACCAGGGCAGGTACTACTGCATGGTAGAGGAATGGCTCTGGCTGGCAGACGGCTGGTACAAACTTGGAGAGGGAGCATCGGGAGGGACCACGCTGGAGTTCAAGCTCCCAGGTAAGCAGGTGGTTCTCTCTTATATAGGTGCCGCTGGAGAAGGTTAGATCAATTCGTTGCAGGGCCCCTGCTAGGGCTCTCGTAAGCTGACAGGGCTTAGGAGAAACAGCAGCTCCTGCTGGAGCTGAGACTTAGGTATGCAGATGTCAGTGCCTCTCAAAGGGAAATGGGCAATGGGGAGGATTTACCACATCCTTCCAAACCAACCAAACTGGTATTGTTGCCACTGGCAGATGATGTCTAATGCTTCATAACGAAGTGAATCATGGCATTTTCTTTTCTCTCCAACACATGGTGCACTTTGTTGGTTGTACAGCACTGTGAATAGAGAAAACCACCTTTCCTGGTATTCTTGAGCGTCCTCAAGCAAGGTGCTTAGTTTTCCTTACCCTGCAGCAAATTGCTGCTGAGAACAAGCCTGGAGGCCCAGCTGTTCCCATCTTGGGCACTGCACTGCTTTCGTGCATGGTGGGTCTCCTTGGCTTAGTTCTTCCTGCTGTCAGCCTTGCTTGGCTTATGGATTACAGTCTTAAATAAAGTGGATCAGAGAATTCCAGCTTCCTGAATAGCTTTTGGTACAGAGGATGCCTTAACACTTATTTGGAGGGGGTGGGAAGTATTAAAGCAGAGGGTTGTGAGCAGGGGACAGAAATGATGGTGAAGGGGAAGAACCCCAGGGAAAATGAGTCACAGGAGCAAAGGACCTGTGGGTGACCTGTAGAGGCTTTTGCAAGAGGGCATTTCAACCTTCCACACTTTGCGGGTACAGGCAGGAGTACTACTGTGGCAGCACATATGTTTCTTTCTGCTTGCATCCTCTCCCAGAGCGTAAACTGCGGCTGGAGGAAACCCAACGCAGCATCTCAGTGAGGGTGGGTGAGGACGTGACCCTGCACTGCGTACTGCAGGGTGCCCACCTGCCCGCCACACACCTCTCAGCCACCTG